GTCTTCTTAGTATGGCTATTGCCTTCACTGACCATATTATATATTTATTTATATAAATATTTCAATGTATATTTTTATTGATTTCAGAGAGGAAGGAAGGGAGAGAGAGATAGAAATACCAATAATGAGAGCAAATCATTAATTGGTTGCCTCCTGCATGCCCCACACTGGGGATCAAGCCCACAACCTGGGCATGTGCCATGACTGGGAATTGAACTGTGACTTCTAGGTTCATGGGTTGATGTCCATGCTAACTGGGCCTGAGTATCTTAATACTAGCAGCCCAGTGCACAGATTCTTGCACCAATGGGGTCACTCGGCCTGGCCTGCAGAATTGGTCTGAAATGAGCTCTCCAACATCCCCCAAGGGGTCCTGGATTGCTAGAGGGCACAGACTAGGACCAAGGACCCCATTGGTGCATGATCGGGGCCAGGGAGGAATGTGGGTGGTTAGCCAGCTGGGGGGGACTATGGGAGAGTTCCAGGGTGTGTCCAGGAACTCATTTCACTCATTCCTGATCGGCCAGATCACAGCAGCAAGCTAACCTACTGGTCAGAATGTCTGCCCCCTGGTAGTCCATGCATGTCATAGTGAGCAGTTGAATGGCCTTAGCATATCATTAGCATATTACATTTTGATTGGTTGAATGATTGACCGGACACTTAGCATATCAGGCTTTTATTACATAGGATTGCTTACCTCCCTCACACGTCAAGCATTTCTATTTGTTCATTGTCCCTTCTAACCTCTCTAGAACATAAACTCCTTGAGGGCAGGGATATTTCTTATTTTAGTCATTGCCATATTTCTGTTGCTTAGCACAAAAGTACTCCATAGTATTTGTTAATTTTTTTTTTCTGAGTTATAAAAGTACTTTATTCACCACAGACTTTTTTTTTTTTTTAATGTATTTTATTGATTTTGTACAGAGAGGAAGGGAGAGAGATAGCAAGTTAGAAACATCGATGAGAGAGAGCCATCGATCAGCTGCCTCTTGCACACCCCCTACTGGGGATGTGCCCGCAACCAAGGTACATGCCCTTGACCGGAATCTAACCCGGGACCCTTCAGTCCCCAAGCCGACGCTCTAGCCATTGAGCCAAACCGGTCTCGGCAGACAGACTTTTCTTTTATTAACTGTCACAAATGGTCAAAATGAAGTCTTTCTGAGGAAAACAATATATCTCGTCAACATTGAATATATATTTTGTGAATACATTTACAGGTGGATATATTTCATTTCCTTCCTTTTATCTGGAAATTCATAATGGTTGATAAATTTGATCTTAGCCTGAGAGGATGAAAAAATGTTTACAGTTGACAGAAAGGATCAGTAAAACTAGTAACATTTTTTTAGAATTGATTTGAGAGGAAGAGAGAGAAAAGTTTGGAGAAAGAGTCAATGTGTCTTATAAGTAGGAAAGTATCACAAGATTAGAATTTAGTTCCTTGAAGCAAAATACAATGGGAAATCATTGACAATTTCAAGGAGTCTAATTAAACATATTTAGTAATTTGACTTACAATCATTAGGATAGTTTAAATGAAAGAGAACTAAAAATACTAAGAGCATTTACAAAGAAAAATTTGATATATATGAGGTTTGAAATAATCTGAAAATTGAAGGAGAAATGGTCAAAAGGAGGAATTTGAGAAAAAGCAGTAAGTTTGGGGGGTATAGGGTATATAAGAGGACAATCACAGATCTGCAGTCACTTCACGTTTATGCCTTTTAAGAGGATGGAAGAGTAAAATTTAAAATAGCAATTTGGCATTATTTTTGCTTTAGGGCCGTGGTCGGCAAACTGCGGCTTGAGAGCCACATGCGGTTTTTTGGCCCCTTGAGTGTGGCTCTTCCACAAAATACCATGGCCTGGGCGAGTCTATTTTGAAGAAGTGATGTTAGAAGAAGTTTAAGTTTAAAAAATTTGGCTCTCAAAAGAAATTTCAATCCTGTACTCTTGATATTTGGCTCTGTTGACTAATGAGTTTGCTGACCACTGCTTTAGGGTAAAGAATAAGAACTATAATTTACTCTCACATCCACCCCTAGAAAAGAAACTAATAAATGAAGTGGCTGTGTTTTGCTGTGCTGTGTGGAATGCTTTTGTAATATGGTTTCTCTTCTACTATTGACTAATAGGCAGAAGATGAAAGAAAAGTTAGATGTATAAAGAAGAAAAGTTAGATTTATAAAGATGCTTCTTTTTAGAAATTTGAGGGCTTTTGGTTTGTCCAAAGAGCTGCTTTTAGCTGGAATTTCTTTCTGAAACTTAATCAAGGCTATATTTTACTTATTAATTCTATAGGTCTGTCATTTGTAGATGACAGTTGTCAAACAAAATAGGGGAAAATTATTTTTAACAGAAGATATGTAGGATGGGAAGTATATTGTTGGCTTTTTAGATATGTTATACTCTTGGGTATTTTAGCCCATTAGATAAGAGAAATCTAGAAAGATATAAAGGACAGAGCAACGTTTTCAACAAAATTATTGTTCTGCTCTTTGGCTTTCTCTTTATCTTATCCCCTCTCGCCTTCCCCATTGGCCAGAACATAGCCTTCTCCATCTTCCTGCAGAATTTAACACTTTCCCTTCAGTGTTAACACACAGTATAGAATAAAGAAGAGTGGATTTAACCTAGGTACCACATCTAGCATTTTTCATGCACTCACTGTGTTTGTTCAGTACTATGTTTGGCTCTGGGCATATAAACATGAATGACACACAGCACCTGTTATGAGAAACTCACAGTAAAGCAGTCTATTGGGAGAACAATTACAATCTATAACAATCTAATATATATATATATATATATATATATATATATATATATATATATATATAGTTAGTATGCAAAGTGTTTCTTCCGTAGTTTGATCGCTTGCTATGATGTGCGCTGGTCATCGGGGCAGTGCAGAATGAAGGAAGCCCCGGCTGGTAGTAGGGAGGCCCCGATTGGCCCTGATCGCTGGCCAGGCCTAGGGACCCTACTAGGATCTCTAGTATTTTCACAGTGATACTTGATGAGCTAGGTTTTATTTAATAATCTTGACCAAAAACATGCTTTTGTAACTAGTAAAAAAAATTAACACTATCGTGGCTTTTTTCCATAGACATTAAAACCAGTGTTTAAGAATGACATGTTTTAATATTTTAGAATTATTCTTATAAAGAGCAAATAAAAGACCTGTTTTTTAGTATTGTTTGACCAATTTTAATCAAATTTTTAATTTTAACTAGATTGACAAGGCATCTTTAGTATACCACTAAATATAGCTTTATTTTAAATTGTTCAAATGTTACATGAATAAAAATGAATGTTATTAAAAAGAGTCTTTTTAGTTCATGCATGTCCCAGTTCTTAACATTTTATTTAATCTTTAAGCTATATTACTCCTTTCTATTCCCCTATTGGGTACTTTTGATCTTTTAAAAATTTTTCTTTCCTAGTATTAAAACGTTGTTACTCTATAGAAAAAAATTGTTTAAAAGTATGTTAGCAAAATCCCTTTAGATCAGTGGTTCTCAACCTTTCTAATGCTGTGACCCTTTAATACAGTTCCTCGTGTTGTGGTGACCCCCAACCATAAAATTATTTTTGTTGCTACTTCATAACTGTAATTTTGCTCTACAGCAGCGGTTCTTAACCTGTGGTTCCTGACCCACAGGTTGAGAACCGCTAGCAGGGTCGCCTAAGACCATTCGGGAAACACGGATATTTACGTTACAATTCATAATAGTAGCAAAATTACAGTTATGAAGTAGCAACGAAAATAATTTTATGGTTGGGGGGTCACCACAACATGAGGAACTGTATTAAAGGGTCGCGGCATTAGAAAGGTTGAGAACCACTGCTTTAGATGATAGCAGGATACATTTTTTTCCCTTGCTTTATTTTTATTTATTTTTATTGTACCTTGTTAAACTGGTCTTACACATGAAGTTTCTTAGAATCAGGCAGTTCCTGGTTCCTATGGGACATAACTGTTTTCTCAAATGAAAATAGAAAAGGACTTCAGAAAGGAAACCTGGTGAGTGTGAAGTACTTTGTAGGGTAAGTCTTAGTTGTGACCTGGATTATAGAGATCCAGGTATCAAAGATTTGAATATTTTTACATGGGATTTAAAAATAGATGATAAGGAGGATTTTTCTAAATAATAATTATAAGAGATGCTACATAATTCAGCCATAAACTTGTTGGTATGTTTTCCTGGAGGGTGGGTGGGTATAGGGAGGTTGGATAGGAAGTGGAAAATCCTTTCCTTATAATACTTACTGGAAATCCAAAATTGTTTAGTACTGAGACTTAATTCTTAAGTACTTTGATCTATATATTTGTTTCTTGCCATTTTCCAAAATATTAGAAAGAATTAGAAAGGTTTTTTAAATTATTAGAAGTCAGAATTCTAAATTAATTATTCATTTTTAAAGCATGTTGTGGACCACACAAGTAGTAAGTGCTTTTAGAAGTGTTTTTGAAGAGAAACCTGTTAAAGAGGAAACAAATGATTCAATCATTAATAGTAACAATAGGTAACATGTGTTAAGTGTTTGAGACTATGCCAGGCATTTTTTATGATTTATCTCATTTAATCCTCACAACACAATATCAGGTAGGTGCCATTGTTACATCCTTCCTTTATAGAATAGGAAATTACAACTTAAGTGGCAAAGTAGATGTTAGTTCAAGGTCATGTTGCTAGTTAGTGATGGAGCTGGGACTTGAACCCAGCAGCTCTAACATCAGAGCACCTGCTATTAATTACTATGTAGAACACCACAAATTCAGTGAGAATGGTAAGTATAATAAGTCTGAAAAAATGCTTTCCCCAACTGTTATTATCATCAGTTTGTTTTACATTTTATTTGCATGCTTATATTCAGTTTTAACAAAAAACATGCTGGCATTTCAGAGGGATTTATTATTTAGGGGGATTCTAATTTTCATTTTTAAATGATGCTAATAGTTCTCTCTTTTTTTTTTTCCTTGATAGTAAAAAACCCCTTTGATGAAACATTTGGAAAAATACAAGTAAGTAAAAGATGATAATACTGACATTTTGTCTCATGTTTTCTATGATAAAAGTATTACCAACTAAAAATAATAATTTTTAAAAGGTTCTTGCCCTGGCTGGTGTGCTCAGTGGTTCAAGTATTGACCCATGCACCAGAGTCTCAGGTCCAATTCCTGGTCAAGGGCACATACCTGGGTTGCAGGGTTGAACTCTGACCTCTGTTGGGGCCCAGGCAGGAGGCATCCAATCAGTGTGTATCTCTCTTTCTCCCTCTCTCTCTCTCATTCTTTCTTTCTCTCCCTCTTTCCCTCCCTCTCTCCCTTAAAATATTCTTTTAGGCTGAAATAATAAATTTTCTCTCCCTTTTTAAAAAAAAAATATATATATATTTTATTGATTTTTCACAGAGAGGAAGAGAGAGAGATAGAGAGTCAGAAACATCGATGAGAGAGAATCATCGATCAGCCGCCTCTTGCACACCCTCCACCGGGGATGTGCCCGCAACCAAGGTACATGTCCTTGGAATCGAACCTTTCAGTTCGCAGGCCGACGCTCTATTAACTGAGCCAAACCAGTCCCAGCAAATTTTCTCTTTTGAGTATCCCTTAACTGTAGTGTAACTAAATCTGACACGGATTTGTCTGGAGACCTGGCCTTACCCTTAAAAGTATGCATGTTTTCATAAGTTGTTGGATATCCTTGCCTAGCAGTTTTTGTCCTCTTTGACCTCATCCTGTCTCTCTTTGGACGTTTTGCGCATTGTCACGCCTGTTCAACCATCAGGAAGGCAAAGGATTTAGAAATAAATATCCCTTAGGTTGCCTATATATGATTTCTTTTTTTAAAAGGACCTATAATGTAAATTTTAACCAATTTTACTCACATGAAAATATTTTTTGCTTACCATCATATAGGCATTTCAAGAATTGATATTTGAGTTACAATACATTATTCTTAAATTTTTAAATTATAGGACCTGACAGTAATATAGAACTGTGTAGAATACATTATTTATTGTGATGAGGAATGTGTAAAAGTGTATAATCAGTTCCACAAATTATTACTCCAGATTGTTAGGGTGAGACTTTGTAATGATTATTTTTGGTAATATTTTGTTGAGATAATTGGTTTTAAAAGAGTTGACAATCAGTTACACTTTTAAGTACAATACTGCTACTGGTGCTGTAATTTAAATTTGTACAGTGTACTCAATAAACATGGGAAATACAAAACTTTATTTATTTTTAATTTCTTTATTGATTATGGTGTCACATAACTGTCCTCATCCCCCAACTCCCATCCTAGACCCCTCCCCATGTATGCCCACGCCCTGTTGTCCATGACCTCTGGTTAGGCTTATATGCATGCACACAAGTTCTTTGGTTGATCCCTTTCCTTTGCCCCCACCTTCCCCTACCTTCCCTCTGAGGCCTGACAGTCTGATTGCTGCTTCTCTGTCTCCAGGTCTGTTTCTGTTCATCAATTTATGTTGTTCATTATTTCCCTTAGATGAGTTAGATCATGTGATACAAGGAATTCCCTTATAAGGACCAAAACTGAGACAAGCCATAATGGTTATGCTGAGAGGCAAATGAATCAGTCTGTAGTGAGTTCCTTTCTGGGCCAACAGTTCTTTTGAGTTCCCATTTCAAATGTCAAACAGTTCCTTATGTGTACATGTCAGCCATGGTATTTCAGATCTGGTTGGTTGACAAATGGTGTTGATGCAAGCCTGATCATCTCTGGTTTGGTCCTGGACATCCTTCAGCGATGCACAGCTCCTGTCTGCTAGTATGGCAAGGTGTTGTCAGCGTCTTCCATCTCTGGACTGATTCTCTTTTGTCTTCATGGCTGGGTCACTCCTGTCAATTCCTCTCTGTTGCAGGAATCCAGTTGGTCTCAGAGCTGTTTTCTGAAAATATGCAAACATATTCTCGAACAAAAGTTAATAAAGGGATATTTTCTATAAATTTGACTTGGGAATCCCTTTTCATTTTTTTTTTTTATAAAATTTTTTCCCCCCAAATGATTTTCCTCTGGCTTGTTTTGAAACCATGTATGTTTTTCATGGGTATCTTGTTTTTAGCATTTCAGACTTTATTCTTTTTATAATTTTTTATAATTTTTATAATTTTTTAAATTTATAATTTTTCCCATGAGTGAAACTCAAGTTCTGAACCTCTAAATCAGGATTGGGAAAGCTTTTTCTTCCAATGTTATATTTATATCATCACTAGAGACCCGGTGCACTAAATTCATGCACGGGAGGGTTGTCCCTCAGCCCAGCCTGCACCCTTTCCAATCTGGGCTCCCAGCCACTCACCTGCCTGCCTGGCTGCCTGATTGCTCCTAACCGCTTCTGCCTGCCAGCCTGATCACCCCCTCATCACGCCTAACTCCTCCCCTGCCAGCCCAATTGCCCCTAACTGCTCTCCCCTGCAGGCCTGGTCCCCCCAACGGCTCTCCCCTGTAGGCCTGGTGGCCCACAACTGCCCTCCCCTGCAGGCCATCTTATGTTCACATGGGGGCATCCATCTTTGACCACATGGGGGTGGTCATCTTGTATGTTGGAGTGATTGTCAACTTGCATATTACTCTTTTATTAGAGAGGATTTGCAGGCCATATAAAATTATTAACTTAAAAATTAGCCTGCTATATTTGGCCAAACTTTTAATTAACTCACCCTAATGCCTTAAGAGGGCCAGATCAAATGCTTCCGTGGGCCTCATACACAGGTTGGATGTTCCCCAGCCTGGCTTTAAATAATAGTAATAAAAATGATGATAGTTCACTTATTCTATGCCAGACACCATGCTAAGTGTTTAATATTCATTGTCATTAATCAGATACATGATACAAACAATTGAAAATATTTTTCAGAAAAAATTGGCTGAGGAAAGAAGAGTGAAATATTTAAAGGGGACAATATATGAGAAAATTTGGTAGTGTTTCTCTTCAGTTTGATTTTTTTCTCCCAAGAATAAGAGTATAATATAAGAAGGTCTGGCCGAAGCCAGTTTGGCTCAGTGGTAGAGCATCGGTCTGCAGACTGAAAGGTCCCAGGTTCAATTCCAATCAAGGGCATGTACATTAGTTGCGGGCACATCCCCGGTAGAGAGTGTGCAAGAGGCAGCTGGTCGATGTTTCTCTCTCAACGTTTCTAGCTCTCTATCTCTCTTCCTTCCTCTCTGTAAAAAATCAATAAAATATATTTAAAAAAAAGAAAAAGAAAAAAGAAAGTCTGGATCTTATCTGACAATCAGAAGGTAGCTATCTCAAATTATAAAACTGTTTTTGTTTAATGAAAAATTACTTTAAATATGTACTTATTGGTAGATCATTAACTTGTTTTGGGGGTTATTAGGGAAGCCACTAGTTAAGACACCTTCAAGCTGAATATTAGAAGGGTTCATCTAAAAAGCAGACTGAATTGACAAAGAATATAATGCAACTATAAGCCATATAAGTTGCTATAAAGAAAGTAACTTTAATATTTGATTTACATACGTTTTAGACTTATTTAGCATACTGGTGCTAAAGAGAATTGAACCAAACAAAGCATTTCTTTATCTAAATTGATTTGTTCACATTAATAACATAGTCCATTTGGATGTCACTTGAGAATCTTGTTATATATATAGATGTTCTTTTTGAATAAGTCATCACTAGAAAAATAATTCATGAAAAATTTATAGTTGAGCTTTTTGGGTGCTTAAATTCTTTGTATAATAATGTAATAATATGTACATTATCCAGAATGAGATTCTTTTAGATCTGATTTTGTAATTTCTTCTACTTATCTAGTCCAGTGTTAATATATGTGAATCTAAAGATGAAGTATATTCCTAGGCCTCTGGTGTTCATTAAAGATGTAATCACAAAGAGAAAGTGTTGAAATTTTGGATTTAATTTTATTTTCAATAGGAAAGTGGGGATAGGTTTGATGAGGATCTAACCATCATAAACATTAAGCAAAAAGGAAATCAGTCACTTTTCCAGATAAGGGAGGAAACAAACAATACAATTCTCAGCTACTTTATTTATTTAGTTTTTACTCTCAGCAACTTTAATCTCAGAGCCTAATCAGATTTACCTTGATTTTATGTGTCAAGTCCACAATCTACATTATCATTGAATTCCTTTTCATCCTATTATTATATAATAATGAACATATTTATTTATTTTTAAATACATTTTTATTGATTTCAGAGAGAAAGGGAGAGGGAGAGATAAATATCAGTGATGAGAGAGAATCACCGATTGGTTGCCTCCTGCTCACCCCCCAACTGGGGATCGAGCCCGCAACCCAGGCATGTGCCGTTGACCAGAATTGAACCTGGGACCCTTTAGTCCGCAGGCCAACTATCCACTGAGCCAAACCAACTAGGGCTGAACATATTTATTAAAAACAATTTTGTGGTATAATATATCACAAATACATAGCTTTCAGAATCCTGGATTTCAGCCCCTGCAGTTATTTTTGATATCTGACTTGTGCAATTTGGATTTTTAAGCTTATGCAAAGATAAGGACTGTCTTGGTTCAGAATCTGGTTGAGATAGAGTTGAGGGGGAAGAAAAAAGGATTGGAAGGCAAGTAGTCAACTGAAGGAATATCACTTGTCTTTTACCAACAATCTCATATAAAATCAGGGACTCTGGTAGTAGGATTTGGAGTCTTTGATAAGTTTTCTTTTTTCTTTAGTGTCACTGGTTAAAGCTGCATTGACAAAAGCATGCCACTTACCGTGTCCAAATTTTTCTTCTGTCTCTGAATATATAGCACAAAAATAAATGGATGAGATCGTATGTTATTGGATATATAATTACTTTTCCAGATTTCTGTATCTTGACGGAATTTGCTTTTGGTTGTACTCATTCAGTAATTCTGATAGACATTTTAGGGGGGAAAGGGGAATAATAATATAGCCCCCTCGTGAATCATGAATTAATTTCAAATAGTGTAATAAGCTATTATTACCCACTGTCCTAACACTATTCTTCATTGCTTATATTGATCCTTCTTAATTGTGATTGCTCTTAAATTGGAGATCTCATTGCTTTAGACTAATTGGTAGGGTGCAGAGACATTACAATAGTCTCCTCTCCTAATTTCCTTTCATGTGGTCAGAGTAATAGTCTTGATGCACACATTTGTTTTACTTTCCTCCCCCCAAGCTTTCAAAACGAAGTAAAACTCTTTGTCTTGATATTTAGGGTTCTCTAGTAGTTTATTCCAAACTGCTTTTCTAGTAGGTTGCTGAGTCAAAGTAGGCTACTGGTTATGTAAGAAATATAACAATGCTTTTATGCCTTTATGCCTTTGCTCATGCTGTTCCTTCTGCTTGGAATGCTAGTGAATTCTATTCTTCTTGTGAAACTCAACTCAAATATTTTCTCTTCCATAATAGATCTTCCCTTCCCTCTCTCTTATGTGTTTACATTATATTTTGTTTGCAACTGTGATATGATTTTTGCCCCTGGGAACAGGATCTCTTGTTCACTGGATCTCTTGCTTTGTGGCTAACAATTTTAACTCATAGTATATACTTGTCAAATGTTTATTTTACTTTAACGGTTCATAAACTTATTCAGGTCCACTTTGGGAGCTTAGGAGATGTTGAGGTTCAATCAAGGTGTCAGTACTCATTCCTTTATTATGTAGTTGAATCAGATTAAACAAAACATGAAGGGTAGTCTGGAAGAAAATAGTGTCATAAGGACAATATACATAAGCATGCTATTGTATAGGGCAGGGGGAATTGAGGAGCATTGTTTTGGTGGTTGGTGAAGTTTGTTGTGTATGAGACCTTTTTTAGTAATGCCAATTTCCCAATCATCCTCAATGAAGTAAAATATATAAAGTGATTATTTAGATTTTAGGCTTAGGTTTCTTTAAAATACAGTAGCCATTTTTAAATATGAATTTGTCCTTTAGATTATAAAGTATCTATGATTTTAAGTTTTCTTATGCTTTTCTTTTTGGGTAAGACTACTATTTGGTATATGTGTTTTTCTTGGAGTTACCTAGATATTTTAAAATAATTTTTTTTAATTTTAGGAAAATGAAAAAAATCTTATGATGAACACTTTATACAAGCTTCATGATCGATTGGCACAGCTTGCAGGTAATTATTTTAACAATAATCGTCTCTAAAAGTGTTTTGAAAATTAAATTTGCATATGTAGCATATTGTAGCAATAGAAATAGTTTTTCTCAAGTCTAGTGTTTTATTTGTGAGATATTTTCTCTTTAGACGTTATTATTTGGAGTGGATTTTTATTTTTGTAGATAATATTTAATCAGTGTGTGTGTTTTTTTCTGCCTGCCACATGTATTAGTGAAAAATGTATGTATATAATATCATTCTAAAGTAAAATTAAAATTTTTCTGCATTAATATTAACAAAATTCTGAAAGCTTAAAGTATAAATTAAATTGGGTAAGCAATGAATTAGTTAAAATCCTAGAATAAATATAAAAATGCAGATTTTTCTTTAATGGTTGTATAAGTGTCATAAAGTAAATATATTGTAGAATTTTTTTCTTCCTGATTTATTGCATTTTTCTTTATATTCTGCTCTTAGTAAGTCTTTGAAAGCTTTCAAGTATTAACTTATTTGCATATAGGTTATTAATAACAATAATATAGGTGAGTTGGTATTAAGTTTAGTACCTATAAGCTGTGGTAGCAGCTTCAAAGTTTATTACTTTTTAACTTATTACACATTTAAACCAAGAGACTTTCTTCTTATAGAAGAGATTTTCTTATAAACAGTTACAAGAAAAGAAAAATGTAATTGTTCATACTCTTGATGTAGTAGATCCTTTTTGTGGAAATCACATCATTGGTAGAAGCCTAGTAGTTAATGGGGAACTTTTCTTATTGCATGGAGGCATTTAGAATCCTGGCAGTTCCCCATCCTCTCATCAATCTTTATTTTATTAGTTTGGGTCCTTAATTTTGATTAGTTTTTTAGGTTCACAATTCTGTGTATATCACTAAAAGCCTTATTTGCGTTGACTTTTGAACTGTCATATTTATACACTGAATGCTAATGACATTTATTTGGTATGCTATAGCAACTAGAAATAGTTTAAGTACATACTTTAGCCAGGAATTCCTGATATTGCTACTGCAAGCGTCTACAGTTGTTTCTATAGCATTGTTTTATGAATATGTCAGCATAATCTGAAGTGCTTTTAAAAATATAGATTCCTTTCTATAGAGAAGAGTTTGGAAAAGTTTTTTCTGTGAAAGGGCCAAATAGTGTAGAACATTTTTAGGCTTTGTGGGCTAGACTGTCTCTATCGCAACTACTCAGTTCTGCCATTATAGCATGAAAGCAGCCATAGATAATACATAAATGAATGAGTGTGGCTGTGTTCCAATGAAACTTCATGTTTATACTAATAAAATCTAGTGGTAGGCCAGATTTGGTCTATGAGCTGTAGTTTGCTGACCCCTGCTGTAGATCTAAGGCATCTGAATTTCCAAGGATGCATTATAAAGTTTGAAACTTATTTGTTCATCTAATTGGTATTTGTTCCCTTTTTACAACTACAACCACTAATAACTGGCTACTCTTAACAAAACTCATGAATAAGAACATGGTTTCTTTTATGATAGGAAAATTTGCCAAGACTTTTATTTTACTTTAACTATTGGACTTTTATAGGTTAAAGTTTTTTTCAATTACTTGAAAGAAACAGGACAAGAAAAACTTAAATTTGAAGTTCATTATGAGGATAATTGATCTCTAATAATCACAGATAACCTAAAAGAAAAGGTTTGGATTCTCTTATAGCGACAAAAAAAGGAAAATGTGCTTTTCTGTAAAAACTAGATCATAGTCTAAATAGAATCTTATAATTATGTGTTAAAATAATTTTTAAGGCTTGTACACCACTTGCTAAAAATAGGCTTAGTTATGTTCTGAAAATGTATGTTTTAATTAAAACTTATTTGCATTCTTTAATTATCAGTTTTAGTGATAGATGTATATGTTAGAACAATGAATTTTCCCGCTTGAAAAATAATGAATTTGTGGAGGGCCTTCTGTGTGCCAAGATCTTTGGATAGGCATAGTGTCACATAGTTCCTACACCAGCTAACAATGTAGTTGGGAATATAAGAGGAAGATAAGTTCTTATCTAGACTGTAATGCACGTTAAAGGCTGTGGTTTATGTAAAGGTAATTATTTATTTATATTACTTGGATTATTCCTAGAAAATATAAACAATGTTCATCTTTCTTTAGTGAGTATAATAACTATAATTGTAATTTGCAATATATTTTGATTAATATTTGTTTTCTTCCATTGAACACCATACTGATTCAAAATTAATAATATGCTAATCTTTCCAGGAGATCATGAATGTGGCAGTTCTAGTCAGAGAACACTTTCTGTCCAAGAGGCAGCTGCATATTTAAAAGTAAGCAGTGAAATTATAATTTTAATAACTATATTCTTAAAGTTTATATAAATAATAACTTATATCAAAAGTACCATTTATTTGCCCTAGCCAGATGGCTCAGTTGGTTAGATCATAGTCCCGTACATCAAAAGGATGCAGATTTGATTCCCTGTCAAGGCACACCCAGATTGTGGGTTTAATTCCCAGTCGGGGCGCATATGGGAGGCAATCAATCAATGTTTCTCTCTGCCCCTTCCTTTTTCTCTAAAAACAATGAAAAGCAAAACATCTTTGGATGAGGGCTAACAAGTAAAAATTTAAAAGTACCATGCATTTTATTAATTGCACTGTTAAAAGCTTGGGCCTACTCTTTGGTATAATGGGAGCAGATAGTAGAAATACTCAACATTTTTGTTTTAGTTTGCTTCTCTCTCTGAGACATTGCACATTAATTTGGAAGGAAACAAATAACAGTTGTGAGAGAGAAATTGAGATAGGTACATAGCATGTAAGAGCAAGTATGCATCTAACTTGTTATTTATTTCAGATCTGTCGCAGATTAATTTCATTTTAGGGTAATAGAACTTTGCAGATGAATTTTATAAACCACTGTAAATGATATTTAGGGATAAATATCAGATGAATTTTATAAACCACTGTAAATGATATTTAGGGAATCCTAGATGAAAGGAAAGGTTAAGATGGATAGATATCATTCTGATTTCCAAAAAGACAGTGGATTTTGAAAGCCATACTGGTGAGCTTCAGTTTTGTAAATAAAATTCCATAAAGATGTGTGTACTTAAAATGGAAATGTTGGTCTCCAGAAGCTGACATGATTCATTACCAGCGAGTCATGTTATATACTAGTATAGTACTTTATTTTCGCCTCTGTTTATTGTGGTCAAAAACACATGAGATCTATCCTATTAATACATTTTTAAGTGTACAATACAGTATTGTTGACTACATGCACATCATTGTATTAAGACTTTTTCATCTTGTATGACTGAATCTCTATGCTCATTCACAGCGATTATTCATTTCCCCTCTTCCTAGTCCTAGGCCACCACCATTTCACTTTGTGACTGGCTAATTTCACTTAGCATTAGTGCCTTCAAAGTTCATTTATCCGTGTTGTAACATGACATATATTTTTTTAAGGTTGAATACTATTTGTGTGTGTGTGTGTGTGTGTGTGTGTGTGTGTGTGTGTGTAAAAACTCCCATTTTCTTTTATCCATCAGTCTGTAATAGATAGTTAGGTTGCTTCCACTTCTTGGCTATTGTGAATAATAGCAGAGTGAATATGGGGTGCAGATATGTCTTATATCCTCTTTTCAATTCTTTGGGACACATATTTAGGAGTGGGGTTAAATGATAGTTTTATTTTTAATTAAAAAATATTTAATTGATTTCAGAAAGGAAGAGGGAGATAGAAACATCAGTGATGAGAGAGTATCATTAATTGGCTGCTTCTTGTATGCCCACTCTGGGGATTGAGCCCACAACCTGGCATGTGCTCTGACAGAATTGAATTGTGATCTCCTGGTTCATAGGCCGATGCTCAACTCCTAAGCCACACCAGCTGGGCTATTTTTAATTTTTTAAGGAAACTCAATACTGATTTCTATAGCAGCTACAACATTTTATATTCCCATTAATAGTTTGCAGGTGTTCCCCTTTCTTCATATCCTTGAAAACACTTGTTGTTTTTTAAATAATGGTCATGCTGACAGTTGTAAGGTGATAACTCATTGTGATGTTTATTTACATTTTCCTGATGATTAGTGATGTTGAGTATCTATTGAACATTTTTATATCCTTAAAGAAATGTTTATTCAAATCCATGCCCATTTTAAAATCACGTTATTTGATTTTGTTTTTGTTATAAGAGTTGTAGGAGTTCCTTATTTATTTTGGATATTAACCCTTATCAGATAGATGGTTTGCACATATTTTCTCCCATTCTGTAGGTTGCCTTTTTTCTCTGTTGAATGTTTCCTTTACTGTGAAGAAGCTCTTTAGTTCAATATAGTTCCACATGTATGTTTTGCTTTTATTGCCTGTGCTTTTGGTGTCATGTCCAGAAAGTCATTGCCAAGACATAAAGCTTTACCCTGTATTTTCTTTTAGGAATTTAAAAAAAAAAAAATTCTCATCTGAAGATACTTTTCATACAGAGTGAAAGGGAGGGATAAAGGTGGCAGGAAGGGGGATTCAGAGAGAGAGAAACATTGACATGATACACTTCGATTGGTTGCCTCCTGCATGTGCCCAGGGTTTGAACCCACAACCTATCTACCTACTGTAAGACCTCTGGATCAAATGAGATGAGGCACAGGAAAACACTTCACAAACATTTGGTTAAACTGCAAAATATTTTTGCACCTGGCTATAAAGTAGTTGGGTTCTTGGGCTGAAGAAACTCCAAGGAGGCTAGTTGCTAGGGAGAGGAAGCCAGGCGTTGCAACATGATGTCAGTACCCGGTGCCCACAGCGAGCAGGTGACCGAAACAGTAGACAGTTTCTGGGCTGGGCTGTGGGCCGCATTTTATGCCATGGGTCTTGGCAGTGTTGGCTGAAATTTGATGGGGTATTGCTCTGGGGTAATAGCGGGGCCTGTGGCCTACTTGGGGGAAGCCAAGTGTTGGTTTGTCGGCGTCAGGTCTATCTGCTGTTTATTTTTAAAATTATATTTTATTGATTTTGTATAGAAAATAAGGGAGAGAGAGAGAGAGTTAGAAACATTGATGAGAGAGAGTCATTGATCAGCTGCCTCTTGCACACCCCCTACTGGGGATATGCCCGCAACCAAGGTACATGCCCTTGACCGGAATCGAACCCGGGTCCCTTCAGTCCCCAAGCCGACGCTCTATCCATTGAGCCAAACCGGTTTCGGGATTCTGTTTATTTTTAAATGGCCAGTACGTGTCATGGCAGCACCTGTGTTGAGTGTCTGCCCCCTATGATGGTCAGTTCACATCATAGCTACTGGTTGGATGGATGAACACTTAGCCTTTTATATATATAGATGTGTTATGTTTAAGTCTTTATTTTGGGTTGATTTTTGTATTTGGTGTAATAAAAGAGTCCGATTTCATTCATTTACATGTGGAAATTTTGGGGTTTCTTTCAACATTGTTGAAGAAACTTTTTTCTATTGTGTGTTCTTAGCATCCTTGTAAAAAATCAGTTTATCGTATGTGCATGAATTTCTCTCTTTTCTTCCATTGACTTAAGCCTATCTTTATGCTAGTGCCATATTATTTTGATTACTGTAGCTTTGTTAATACGTTTTGAAGTCAGGAAGTGTGAGGCCTCTAAAATTGTTGAATCATTCTTGCATTTCAGGAATAAATTCCACTTGTTCATGATGTATCATTCTTTTACTGTGCTGTTTAGTTTGCTATTTTGCTAAGATTTTTTTGCATTTATATTTATTAGGGATATTGGTCTGTATTTCTTATAGTTCTTTGTTTGGCTTTGGTATCAGAATAATGTTGGCCTCATAAAATAAGTGTGGAGGTGTACCCTCTTAAATTTTTTGGAAGAATTTGAGAATGATTAGTGTTAATTCTTATTCTCTTCTGATCCTTTGTATTTATGTGACATCAGTTGTAATATTCTCTTTTATTTCTGATTTATTTGAATCTTCTCTTTTTTTTATTTAAGGCTTTGCCAATTTTCTGATCTTTTGGGGAAAAAAACACAAAACACTGTTTTACTGATTTACCCCACCCTCTTTTTGTTTAGTTCAGCTCTAACTTTATTATTTCCTTCTGCTAATATTAACTTATTCTTTTCTTAATTTCATGAGGTACAAAATTGAGTTGTTCATTTGAGCTCTTTCTTTTTTAATGTAGGCATTTACTAATAAACTTCTGTCTCAATACTGTTTTTCTTGTATTCCATAAGAGGCTGTTGGGCTTGCTGAATCTGAATGTCCCTTTCTTTCCATAGATCTTCATCATTATTTATTCAGATATGCTTTTTTCACCTTTCTCTGTCCTCCTTTAGGGTCTTCCATAATGCATATAATATTCTGATTGATGATAGCCTCTAAGTTATTTAAGCTTCCTTCACTCTTTATTGTTTTTTCTTTTTGTTTCTCTGACTAAATAATTTCAGATGACTTATCTTTGAGTTCCTTGATTCTTTCTTCTGCTTGATCAAGTCTGCTGTGGAATCCATCTAGTGAAATTTTCAATTCAATTATTATATTTTTCAGCACCAAAATTTCCATTAAAAAATGATTTATCACCTTAGCTGGTTTGGCTCAACAGATAGAGCGTGGGCCTATGGACTGACGGGTCTGGGTTGGATTCCGGTCAATGGCACATGCCAGGGTTGTGGGCTCAGTCCCTAGTAGGAGGTGTGCAAGAGGCAGCCAGCCAATTGGTGATTCTCTCTCATCATTGATGTTTCTATCTCTCTTTGTCTCCTTTCCTCTCTGAAATCAATAAAAATGTTAGAAAAATTATTTCTCTTTATTGATATTCTAATTTTATTTATGCATTATTTTCCTGAGCTCATTGAGCATATTTATGACAGTGATTTTGAATATTTTTGTCAGGTAATTTATATTTAGTTTCTTTAGGGTCAGTTTATGGAGATTTATTTTGTTCCTTACTTAGGCCATATTTCCTTGTTTACTTTTTGTGCCTTGCTACTTTGGGTTGCAATGTATGCATTTTAGAACAGCCATATGTCCCAGAGTTTATTCAGGGGAAACCTTCAACTCAGAAATTCCAGGGTCTCCTTAAATCTTTTCTCGGAATGCTGCTTTTTGTGGGTATACATTTCTAAATAGAAGTTTTTGTAGGTTTCTTTTTTCAGGAGCTTATAACTTCTTGCTTCCTCTGGTGTCTGTCTGTTGTACTGAAGGTCCTCTGGGAGTAGCAGTTTTTTTGTTTTCAGCAGCATCCATCCATCTACATAGATTATGTCGGGTCTTGTCAGTGTTCTGAGACAGGTGCTGCAGGTACTAATCCCTTGGGTATCTCTCTAAGAAACTG